TGGTTTCTTGGGATATATTCCTAGAAGTGGGATCACAGGGTCAAATGGGAGTTCCATTTTCAGTTTTTTGAGGAGACTCCATACTGTCTTCCATAGTGGCTGCACCAGTCTGCATTCCCAGAACATGAAGCAATAATACAAAGTTTTGTGCTTACATTTTCAGTTAAGTATATGTACTTAATTTTTTTTTTTACTTCTAGTTCAAGTACCTCAAAGGCAGATGACACTGTAAAGTAATCCTACACATAAAAGAAGGAGGAGGATAAGGAAAAGAATTAGGAGGGGGATGAACAGAAGGAGGGGGGGAAAAGGGAAAAGGAGAAGGAGGAGGAAATGTTTACCAAGAAAATCTGCAAAATTTTGGTAAAATTTCAACCACTATTGCATTTCAAAGAAAACATACTTAGAAAAACAAACAAAATAAAATCTTAAAGCAGGAAAACAAAAATGATTTTTTAAATCAGCTAAACATTTAGATGATCTGCCAAATACTTTACAGACCCAAATAAATATCTGTCAATGAAATAAATTGAAAATCTGTCCAACTGCAGAGTTTAATCTTAACACACATTACAAAACTGTCACAAAGACAGCAAAAATGTTTGCTTTAGAAAATAATTTTAATCCTATTTTAAAGAAAAATGGTAGTTCTTTGAATGGTGGTTTCTTGATCATGGCAGATACTCTGTAGTGCATTTCATTAAAGAACAATGCAAATTGTTTCCTGGGGGGGCATTTAGTCTCAAAATTGAAGATTTTTAGCTGGATAGTGCAAAAGCACCACATTGCACATTGAGTTTTTTAAAAATATATTTTTATTGATTTGAGAGAGAAAGGAAGATGGAGAGAGAGAGATAGAAACATCATTGATGAGAGAGAGTGAGTGATTGGCCGCTTCCTGCATGTCCCCTCCTGGGGATCGAGCCCACAAGGAGGCATGTGCCCTTGATAGGAATCAAACCCGGGACCCTTCAGTCCGCAGGCTGACGCTCCGTTCACTGAGCCAAACCAGCTAGACTCCACACTGAATATTTAATTATGCTGCCTAGTATTTTAGTATGCAAACCCTCAGAAAGTTTGTTAATAAATTAACGTATTTGTCAGATAAAATGTAAATTCATCTAATATTATATTTAATTTTATAAATGTCACAGGATGAAAACTGACCTTTCTTCTGCCAAATGAGATGTGGGGGTGGAATACCGCTTGACTCACATAACAGGCTGATGAGGTTCCCTTCAATGACTGTAAGCTGAGCAAGTTCATTAGAGCCATAAATATTGGGCGGTACTGAAAGGTTAAAAACAAGAGAAAGAGATACAAAATACTATTTTCACACTCATTTAATTTAAAATCTCCCCAATACTTTACATGTTTTTTTTAAAAAAAGGTTAGCATTCAAATGACACAGAAAATAATTAGCACTTGAGGTTAACATATCAACACCACATTAAACATCCACTGGAAGGCATCCAGTACACACCTTGAGCAGACTTCCCATTTTCACCGGCAGAAACTTAATTATCAAAATATTGAGAGGGGCATACAGAGAAGGGAATTTGTTATAGATATTTAGATATCTTGCATCAAAATGCTAAGTCACTTACCAAGTATAAACTTAACCCAGTCATTCTTACCTAGCCGGCTTTAATATCGCAGAGGCTGAACAGAATCGGAAAGCAAGAGGCGTATAATACACAGTCAAGAATGGAGACAAGGAATTGGATCTAAGAAACGGGCCTGTTATCTGTACTCGACTGCATAGCCTGCCTCCCACACGGGCCTCAGCTTCTCCTTGGAACTTTCAATGTGAATCCTGACTACGCACGCCTGTCTCCGAGGCTGAGCCGGACTCCCTCCTGAGCCACTTCTCTGGTGGCAGTATCATCAGGCGGCAGATGTTGTTCTCCAGGAGGAGTGGGAGAATCCTCCTCACCTCCCGAAGCAGCTTCCAGTCATTGTTCAACGCCCCCACCTCCGCGTGAAAGCTCTGTTCTCTTGAGGCTCCTGCCACCGGTTTGTCTGTTTTTATCCCTCCTCTTCACATGACGCCCTGCCATTCTTCTGTATGAACTTAACTCCCTGGCCTGCTCATTGGTCTGCTCATTCCTTTCTCCATCCAAGGCCTTGTCACCATCTAGCACATTCTCCTATACATTTATAAATTTAGGCTACTCTCTGACAACTACTCCATCCTTAGAGCTCTTTCACTTAATTTCCCCCAATTAATTAATCGACAGGTAGAATAAAAATGAAGAGAGCTTAATATGTAATATATAATTTAAAGAAATATTTAACATAAATTAATACACTGGGAATAGGAGCAGTTTTTAAAGATTAGCAGACAATCACCACCAATGTTGTGATTACTTTTAAGAATTACCTTAATTAGTAGCATAATAAAATTTCAAGCAAGGAAAGCTAGTCACACTGGTTAGCACAGTAATTCCATTTCCCACCCACAAGTACGTGTGCTCTCTGTCTCTCACAGTCACATAATTCACAAACATAATCTGGCCTTTTGACTTATTTTCAATTGACCAACCCACTCTTCATTCATAGAGAACACTCAATCATTAGAAGATCCTGGCTGTAGAAGCTAAAACGTATATG